CTGTGGCGCCGTTGGGGCGGTGATGGTCGAGCCCTCCCTCTGCCTCCCCACCCCTGCTGCGGAACACTGCGGCCGCACACTGTCTCCTTCTCCTCCTCCTCCCTCCTCCTGCATCCTCCTCCTCCTCCCCCTCCTCCTCCCTCCTCCTGCATCTTCCTGCCTCCTCCTGTGCTGCTTCCTGGGAGGCTGCGCACTCCGCAAACGTCGCCACTTTCGTGGGCTCCTGGGAGGCCCGGCGGGGTCGGGGAGTCAACGGACCCAGACGAGACCTCGCAGCTCCCTGGGGTGCTGCGAACTGCGCAATTGCCGCCACGTTTGCGGGTTCCTGGGAGGCCCGGCGGGGTCGAGGAGTCACGCGCACACATTTGAAACCTCGCTGCCCCCTTTTGGTCCCAGGCCCGGAGTGACTGCAGACTGCGCAACTGGCGCCACGCGCGTCGGCTCCCGGGAGACCCCGCGGAGGCGGGGGCCACGCGCGCCCCGCCGAGACCCCGCTGCTCCCCCCCTGTGATGCTGCGAACCGCGTAGCCCTCGCCCTTTTCGTGGGCTTCTGGGCGTCCCCGCGGTTCCGTGGTGGGCTACGAGCTGCGCCAGTGTCACTACATTGGCAGGCTCCTGGGAGGCACGGCGGAGATGAGGGCAGCGCTGGTCGTGCATATCTGGCGATGTGTTTGTTGTATGTGAAGCGTGCATACAAGTACTCGCCTCGTCTGGAGAAGAGGTTGGGTGCGTCTCTGGTAATTTCCAAACCCGCCTGTGTTGGGTTCTCGTTTTGAATGGAGCGTTACTTACCTCACCTCCGCGTCTCCCGCTCCTGCCTCCTCCTCCTTCTCCTCCTCCTGCCTCCTCCTGCGCTGCTGCCTGGGAGGCTGCGAACTGCACAGACTGTCGCCACTTTCGTGGGCTCCAGGGAGGCACGGCGGGGTCGGGGAGTAAACGTACCCAGACGAGAACTCGCAGCTCCCTGGGTGGTGGCTGCGAACCGCGCGGCGAAAATCATCACTTTCGCGGGCTCCGGGGAGGTACGGCGGAGTCGGGGAGTACACGTATCCAGCCGAGACCTCGCCGCTCCATGGGTTGCTGCGAACTGCGCAAAAGTCGCCGCTTTCGCGAGCTCCGGGGAGGCACGGCGGAGTCGGGGAGTACGCGCGCACCGTCCAGACCTCGCCGCTCCCCTGGGAGACTGCGAGCTGCGCAAAAGTGGCCGCTTCCGCAAGCTCCTGGGAGGCACGGCTGAGCCGGGGTAGTGGAGTACGCGCACCCAGGCAAGACCTCGCAGCTGCCTGGGCCTGGGGGCTGCGCGAACTGCGCAACTGAGGGGCAACGCTACTCAGACGAGACCTCGATGCTTTCCCTGGGGGGCTGCGAACCTCGCAACGGTTGTCGCTGTCGCGGGCTCCTGGGAGGCAGGGCGGGGACGGGGGCCACGCGCAGCCAGCCAAGGCTTTGCTGCTCCTCGGGTGGCTGCGAGCCGCGCAACTGTGTGGCTACTTCCGTGGGCTCCTGGGAGGTCCAGCGGAGTCGTGGGCCACGCGCACACAGTCGAGACCTCGATGCTCCCCGGGTGGCTGTGAACTGCGAGAGTGTCACCACTTGCGTGGGCTCATGGGAGGTCCAGCGGAGTCGGAGCCACGCGCACCCATTGAAGACCTCGCTGCTCCTTGGAATTCTGCGAAACGCGCAGTTGTCGCCACTTCCGCTGGCTCCTGGGAAGTCCAGCGGAGCCGGGGGCCACGCGGACCCATCCGAGACCTCGCGGCTCCCTCGGAGGCTACGAGCTGCGCAAACAGTCGCTACTTCCGCAGCCTCGTGGGAGTCACGGCGGAGGTCAGGGCAGCGCAGATCGTGCATATCTGGCGGTGTGTTCTTCGTATGGAGGGTTCAGGCAACATTGGGGTTGGGTGCGTTTCGTTGTTTTGTTTGTTGCTGTTTCCTGCTCATTCTCCTGACCCTTGTGTTCATTATCCTTCCAGCCTCAGGAAGTGCCGCTTGTTAAGTTCAGGGCAACTTGGAAGGGTGAACGCTGCAGACAGGAAGTCAGAGCCCTCGAACGATCTTCCTTGCGGCGCGAGGGGGATGAGGAGGAGGAGCGCACGTCCATCGGCGACCGATGTCTCCTGAGTGGCTTGTGAGAGCTGCGTGCATGAATCCCACCAGCCCTTTGGGCGTGAGTGGTTTAGGGAGTTCGCTCTGTTCTCAACCCCCCTTCTTCCCCTTCGGGGAGGGGTTTACCCCTCCCCCTACCCCCTCCCCCTGGACCTGGAGGGGGCCGTCCGCGGGTGGTCAGAGGGTCCTTTTTCTATCCCTGGGAGGGCTAAAATTCGACACCCCTCACGAGGATCGTCGCCCCCAGGGGGGGGACACTGAAAAATGCTCGCCCCATCTGCGACCGATCGCCCCCAAGATGGCCTCATCAGGCCCCCAAGACGCTCCAAGAGGCGACCCAGAGAGCCTTCGGACGTTCCCCAGAGGCTCAAAAGAGAGCCCAAGAGGCCCCAAAACGGCCTCCAAGAGGCCTCCCTATTGCCTTGGATACGACTACTCCTCCTCCTCCTCCCTCCTACTACTACTACTACTACTACTACTACTACTACTACTACTACTACTACTACTACTACTACTACTACTACTACTACTACTACTACTACTACTACTACTACTACTACTACTACTACTACTACTACTACTACTACTACTACTACTACTACTACTACTACTGCTACTACTACTACTACTACTACTACTACTACTACTACTACTACTACTACTACACTACTACTACTACTACTACTACTACTACGGCTACTACTCTACTACTACTGCTACTGCTACGCTGCTACTGCTACTACTACTACTACTACTACTACTACTACTGCTACTACTACTACTACTACTACTACTACTACTACTACTACTACTACTACTACTACTACTACTACTACTACTACTACTACTACTACTACTACTACTACTACTACTACTACTACTACTACTACTACTACTACTACTACTACTACTACTACTACTACTACTACTACTACTACTACTACTACTACTACTACTACTACTACTACTACTACTACTACTACTACTACGAGGGGCCCGAACGACTCGCACCAGGACGAGGTGCCCGAACGCCTCACACCACGAGGAGCCCGAACGACTCACACCAGGACGAGGGGCCCGAACGACTCACACCACGAAGAGCCCGAACGACTCACACCAGGGAGGGGCCCGAACGACTCACACCAGGACGAGGCGCCCGAACGACTCACACCACGAGGAGCCCGACTCACACGAACGACTCACACCACGAGGAGCCCGAACGACTCACACCAGGAGGAGGGGCCCGAACGACTCACACCAGGACGAGGGGCCCGAACAACTCACACCACGAGAAGCCCGAACGACTCACACCAGGACGAAGAGCCCGAACGACTCACACCACGAAGAGCCCGAACGACTCACACCAGGAAGAAGGGCCCGAACGACTCACACCAGGACGAGAGGCCCGAACGACTCAAACCACGAGGAGCCCGAACGGCTCACACCAGGACGAGGGGCCCGAACGACTCACACCACGAGGAGCCCGAACGACTCACACCAGGAAGAGGGGCCCGAAGGACTCACACAAGGACGATGGGGCCGAACGACTCACACCACGAGGGGCCCCAACGACTCCCACCAGTCGTCGTCGTCGTCGTCGTCGTCGTCGTCGTCGTCGTCGTCGTCGTCGTTCGTCGTCGTCGTCGTCGACGTCGTCGTCGTCGTCGTCGTCGACGCGGTTGTCGTCGTCGTCGTCGCGGTTGTGGTCGTCGTCGTCGTCGCGGTCGATATCGTCGTCGTCGTCGGGTGCGTCGTCGTTGTTAGGATCATCGCTGTGGTCGTCGTCTCCGCTAAATCCCTCTTGCCTCCCACCGCTTTCTCTCCCTCCTCCTCCGCCTCGTCCTTCTCCCGCTCCCACCACAAGGAGGATGTATAAGGAGGCGGGAGGAAGGAGGAACAGGGGAGATATGCGGGGGCAGGCGGAAACACGCCTGAAAAACACGACTGTCGGCATGCTTCGCAAGAGTTGCTGTTTTGAGATGGGCTGGTGGGGATACGCGAAGCGTGAAGAATTGACAGTTGGAGGGAGTATGAATTGAAGTGGTGAGGCGCCCAGAGGAGGAGGAAGAGGAGGTGGAGGAGGAGGAGGAGAAGGGGTGCCTCCAAACATGCTCCTGTTTGAGGCGACTAGGTACCTCCTACCTGGCTGCTTGCAAGCCTGGGCCTCCGAGTCCACGCCTACAAATCGGTGCAATTGAATACGACACGGCTGTCTAGAAATGCGCGTGCACACTGAGGCTCCACCTTGTGCGCACTCTGCCATGGATCGCGCAGCAAATAGAAGGTCCGACAAGCTGCACAGCATGTCGACCCCAAATCATTTCTATTCCACGTGGAAGGAAGAAATAACTGAGAACGGTATGTAAAGCTTAGCACGAGTGCCGATCTAGCGAACGAATTGAAAACCTAGCCGACACAACGCCTTGCAAACAATGTTCAGCCAACTTCGAAATCGGACCGGCAATTGTAAGACCGGAACGGGGGGTATCTGCCCGGCGGCTTATGGCCACGGGTTGAGGATATCTGGCTGGCAGTTTTTGGCCAGGGAGTAAAAACTGTATGGCTGGCAGTTTACGCCATGAGATGAGGGTATCTGGCTGGCAGTTTAGGCCATGATATCAAGGTATCTGGCTAGCAGGTTTGGGCAATGGAGTGGGGACATCTGGCGAGCGGTTTGGGGCCAAGGGCTCAGGATATTTGGCTGGCAGCTTTGAGTTATGGGGATACGTGGCATATGGCTGGAAATCATGACATCTGGCGTGCTGTTTCTTGTCCACGGGGTGAGGATATCTGGCTGGCAGTGTTGGGTCAAGTGGCAACATCTTGGGGCATCCCCACTGAGTGATTCTGCGTGTCCTGCGCTCGTCTGTATGCTCGCCCCTTGGCGTGAGGCT